TTTGTTCCCACCTAGTTCAAGTATCACATTAACAATGTTAGTGAAAACTACTTCTTGTTACTTGGTTAGTTTTCAGATGGATTCATTTTCTGATCCAGCTCATCATGTGGCCAGCTAAATGCTGGTTCCAGCAGAAATGGGTGTTGAAAATGGAAAAGGTAGGAATACCACTCCTCTGCAGCCATCGCCTGCATTTAGATCTGTTTAAAGCAAATGGAAAAATTCCATTTAAAGGCCTAGAGAGGTCCAAAGGTCTTCCAACAGCTCTTTGAAAAACCTGCAGCCGAAACACATGCTTCTCCAAGCTGTCTCAACTGTATCACATCAGGGTCTTGGGCCCCCCACTGCAAACACACATTACATGCCCCTGGTATCATCGTAGCTCACTGTCATTCTTCCACAAGATTTAGAAGAGTAGTAAAATAATGAGCAGTAATGTACAATTAAATATCCATATTTTAAACTCTTTAAATATTAGCTCACTCTATCTTGATACAGCAGGCAAGATCTTAAGTTATAAATTAACAAAGTATCTCATAGAAAGTTCTTAAAAGGTAAAGGACTTTTAAAAGTTAATTCAAAGTCTTTTCTAAAGATAAGCAAAGGCACTAAAATAAGAAAACCATATAATATACTTTTACAAACCTACATGAATTTAAAAGCAGTAATGCTGAGATAAGATAGGTGAACTCTCAGAGAAAATAATAAACCGATAACACCACCTGTTGAAGAGAAGAAATGCAGGAGTGACTACAAAGAAAGACAACTGACATCCCCAGAAATGTTTTTTCTTTTTTCCTCTCCTCAACTTCTGGCACAAAAGGCATGGAGGAAACCATTTTCTCAATGGCTGAAAAAGTGGTCCCAATCTGACTGATATGCTCCAACTGACACCTCCTTTTTTCTTACAGCTTTACAGAGCAATAATTCTCACTTCAATCTCCAGTTTTAACACAATATATCGAGAATAAAAAACTAGGAAATGGTAGATTGTTACCAGATACATCAGGAATAAAAGGTTATTACAAACAGATTAGTCCAGGGTGGAAGTGACATGGGCTAAGCAGGAGGCATGGATAATCTGGGTAAATTCCATGGAAAAATAAATATCGTGATTAGACTTAAGGCAAATGGAAGCAGTTCGAATTGGCTTTTTCCAAATCACTTAAGAACATGTGATGCCCACATGTCCATTTCCAACAAACTTCACCATAAAGAAACAAAAACCAATACTATGAAGTGTTGAAAAACACATCTACCACCAGCTTCTTCCACACCACAGCAACGTGAATTATTGCAGATGCTTGATAAGCATGAAAGAAAAGAGTCTGGAGGTTTTTTGGCTTTTTGTCTTCTCCTTTTTAAGCAAGCTACCAGCATTTATTTGAAGCACACCAACCCGTCATTAACTGTTGACCTTGCAAAGAAGAGCAAATTTTATAAAACACACATTGCAGTACTATAGTTGGTCTAAAGGTCTCAACCATTTTTCCTGTCCACCTACAGGCTCCTACAACTTCACTGGCTCAGTTCTAGCAGGTTTCTACCAGGTTAACTTTTCAGAACATTAATTCCTTTATCCAACTTCATGTGAGGCCACAAAAACATTAGTGCTTGCTTAACAGAAAGCTCAGGAACTCCTGGCTAAGGACAGGCTGTCTCTAACACCAGCAGCCCACACTTGATCCTCAGCCTCACAGGAATAACTAATTATGTCATTGCACGAACATAAGGAAAAATTTGGGTAAGGGAGTAAGGTGGTCTATAGAAAGGATCTCAAAAAACAGCCATTTTTAAGGTTTAAGATCAGCTTTATAGCAAAGTGTTATTAAGCTACTTGTTAATAAAGCCAAATATCAGCAGTAGATGGATCAAATAAAAACTTTGCAACTTAAACAATCTTCCACCAGGAACAATCTTATGTGACATTTTGAGATCATGTCTTGATTAGCAAAGACTGAGAATATTTCAAAAGGATGTTACCAATTTTCAGCAAAAAAGCAACATCACAACTACTACAGCAAAATAGTGCCAGTCTCTATGCTTTGACTACAGACTAAAAAAAAAGGAATTTAGAAATTAAAAAGGACAGATAGCACATGATGAGGAGTGACTGAACAAAACATTTAATGGTTTGAATTAAATTTTGACACTGTTAAAACAAATACTTTATCACTACAGGACAGCATACATGCTGCAGTCAATGGGGAACACAGGAGTATAGCTGTTAAAACATCACTGAAGCTTCAGAGTGGGATTGAGTCTTGTTCTAGAACCACACTGAATTCCCCTTTAATCAGCTCCACTATAAATTCCTAAGTGCTCATCCCAGCAGAGCAATCAAAGGCAGATGCAAACACTGTCAGACACATTAACCCTGGTTGTTGCACAGTCTACTGCAATCAACATGCTTTTAGCCCTGTTAGATGGGTTAAATTATCTAGGTTTGAGTGATTTTTTGACTTATCAGCAAATTCCTTGCTATTTCTAGTGGCTGTATCACCATGTTTTAGGGTAATCTTAAGGACATCTGTATTTTTCCCTCCTTTAAAACTACTTGAAAACACTCCTTCTTTGGAAAAAAACCCCTAATGTAGAAAATAGAGAAGTTTCACTTTTCATCATTAGCAAAGGCAGAAACAGACCCATAGAATCTGTGAGGTATTTCATAATTCTTCGGTGAATAAAGCATTAGAACTACTGAGCTTGCAAGTGGTCTTGACCTTTGAGTCTCAAACCAAGTATGACAACTACAAGTCCTGCTGAACTCAGGTTTGCAGGAGAAACAAGTGAAATAGCATTGAAGACACTTATGCAGTCAAATATACTACTACAGTAACACCTAAGCAGAAAAAACCCGCTTTTTCTTCCCCCCACCCCCAAAATTCCATTTTGCACCCCCCGCTTCTTCTTTCCCAGCTGAAACGAATACAATTCTTTGGAGTAGTTAGAGTGTGGTTAAGCAGAGGAAGCTATGCTTGTTTGCATGGAATCTGCTACTTCCTCTCTGCCAAAACACTTGTTTAAAGTCATGTAATATTTCTATTAAGCTGTAAATGCAGTTGACAAGGAAATGGCCTACTGGCAATGCATTACCTTTGTGGTAGTGCCAACCAGCCTATAGCAAAATAGCGCACACGGTAATTTCACTGTGCATTCCCAGGCAACAAAATTGTGCCTTACATAAATACCACAGAACTCAAGCAACATCTAGAAAAAGCAATGAAAATTTGCCCAAGCTTTCATGCTTGCCTGTATCAATTCTATGTCATAACTAAAACAAAGTAGGAAAGCATCTACATATGTCCAAAAGTCCTGTGAAGTTGTATCATATGACACCAGGAAACCTATTGCAACTTAAATCTGTGTATTTCTTGTTAACCACTGTAACAACTCACTAATAAAAATTAAGAAAAACTGTAGGTATCAAATATACAAAAGAGCACTAACTGCATACAAGCCCTTAAAAACCGTAACGTAATTTATTAACAAAAATGCATGTTCTGTGTAATCCAGAATTGTCGTGTTAAATTGCTTTGGCCTTTGAGAGCATTCACTTGATTGCAAGAACTGAACAGATCCACAAGCATTCAAACTCAGTGACCTTTGATTTATAAGCAGCTATTGTCATGCACATAAAAATCCTCACTGATAATGCAGTCCTCACCTTTCAATAGCTAGTGCAACTACATACAGTGATGTTACTGAGATGTGATTAAGACATTTTCATTAGAATATAACCAAAAATCACAGCCACTTGATAAATTTAATTTTTCATCAATCATTCTTCAAAATATTATTTAGACGTTATTTCATTTTAAATTCCCATCAAAAACAAGCTTCAGAGATACTTATTTTCTTCACAGATTTCATCCGAGTATTTTCAGTTTGAATTGTAATTTAAAAACAGTTAATTACACAGAAAAAAATATGGTGCAGAAAAACTACTAAAATTTGCTTACAAAATTATGTTATGTTTCTAAATTGCAAAACACTCACTAGTTTTAACAGTTGCACATTGCCATGAAATTTCAGGAAACATCCCTGCTCCAAAAGCACACACAACCAAAAGCCAAGAACCCACAAACAAAAATCAAGAACCCAACAGCACTAAATACACTTCAGCTCATACAAGCAACACCCTACCGTAATCACATATGAACAGTACCTTTTCTTTTGATAATGGTGGTTTCCTTATATTAAGATCCTGATATATGAGGTAAAAGGAAACTGAATAAAATAATATAGTATGCATGCCATTTTTGCAGCCAATTACAAAGAGTTTTTTGAAAAAAGATATGCTTTAGGCAATATAAAGTGCCTTATTAATATAAAATGGGCTTTAGATATAAAAAATTTAAGAATGGAGTGTTTATTGATGCTCAGTGCAATCATCATAGCTATTCTATAAGCTCATTACAAAAATAATAAAAGTATGACTAACAGTGGCAAGTTATTCCTAGACAAACATTGACTCCCATGAACTTCTCCAAGTGAAGTGATTACTTCTATTTACATTTTATTTTACAAAAAGTAAACTAATTCAGAAGAGACTGTAAGAGTCACTAATAAATAAAAGCTGTCAGGTGTTACTAATACTAGCACTGCTCACATAGGACAATTCTGAAACCTTCTTTAGGTCACCTTTAATTCAAAACTGCCTTTCAAAGGAGGATGGACTCTTGGTGATAGAACTCTCCAAGTGCAGGTTCAGCATGCACAAGGCTCTATATTTTGCCTTCAAGCCAATTAAATGCTTACTGCTTTAACTCCCTCTCATGTGGCAATAAAGGCATTCTGAAACCTTACAGAAACGTGTTAAAACACAGGCAAGTGAGTAAATAGGAAGCAACACAGAAAGTAAAACCTGTCAGTCTTAAAATGTCCATTCATAAACATACAGTTTTAAGGTTCCACTATTAGGGTTTTTTGCATGTTTTGTGCGTTTGCAGAGGGTTTTTTTTAAATACAACAAATAAAAACCACCACCACACACTTACCCTCATTGGGTGAATATCTGCATATGGAGGCTTTCCTTCAGCCATTTCTATTGAAGTGATACCAAGGGACCAGATGTCTGCTACACAGTTATAGCCAATCTCTTGTATTACTTCAGGAGCCATCCAAAATGGAGTTCCTATAACAGTATTACGTTTTGCCATGGTATCCTGTAATTATATTATTTATGCAATTAAAACAGAGATGCTTATTTTCAGATTAATTTGATATCAATTCTATATTTAAAAGTTAAATTAGCCACCTAAAGGTCAAATGGTAGTGACTTTCAATTAAGACCAAACTGATTCAGCCCATCATCCTACAGAGGCCAGATAGGTGGTAATAATCATAAACATCAAACTAAAATTTAAAGTGAGATCATCAGGCACTTGACATACACTGGGTTACAAAACCAACTATAGCCCTGCAATACACTAAATATTCATCATGATAAGGAATGTTAGTTCTGCCATTACCACTAGTCACTTAGACACAAAATTCAAGGCGGAAGACAAAGGTAAAAGAACATGGTTAGAAGCACTAAACATTTTTAAAATATCTTTGTACAGGTACTTACTGTTAACTGGCCAGCCACACCAAAATCAGCTAATTTTGCATGTCCCTCGGTGTTAAGAAGGATGTTTCCAGCTTTTATATCTCTATGTATTTTTCTCATAAAGTGCAAGTATTCAAGTCCTTTAAGAGTAGATTTCAGAATAGTTGCAATTTCATCTTCTGTTAGCTGCAAGAAAATACAAAACCATTTTCAGATATACACATAAGGTGGATATATTTGAACTATTTAAAACATGATCACGTCATAGTGATTATCATAAATAATAACAATGCTTGACTTTTTTTTTAGTAGACCAGAAAAACTTCAGTTTTAAAGCACAAAACAAAATCATTAAAAATTCAATTATTAAACACATACTATAAAAAAAAGATGTGTAGACTTGAAAGTCCAAAATGTTTCTCTCAACTTTAATATGTTGCAGAATCATATGCCACCACAAATGACAGAATAAGCTGCAAGTCAAGTGGCAATAAGCTGACAGACATTTCATTACCACAGGAAACACAACACAGTGAAATGAAATTGAGATATATTTTCATTTGTTTGCTTTATAAACAACACATCACTACTAAGTCATCAGTTAGCAGTTGTTTATCCCCATTGCTTTAGATCAACATAATAGGGACACATAAGATCCTGAACAACTGTTATCAAAGAAACAGTAAGAGCCTCTTTTTGAGATATATTTTCATTTGTTTGCTTTATAAACAACACATCACTACTAAGTCATCAGTTAGCAGTTGTTTATCCCCATTGCTTTAGATCAACATAATAGGGACACATAAGATCCTGAACAAGTGTTATCAAAGAAACAGTAAGAGCCTCTTTTTCAGATACCAGACTCCCCTGAGAACACTTCTCGGATTTTCATCAGCATTTATTCTAGATTAAAAGCAAAACCACAAAAACATAATTAATTCCATGTGATGCAATTTCTCAAGGAAATACAAAGAACCTATTCATATAACGGAAATGCTATTTAATTACAGTACATTGATGCTTTAATATAAGAACTAAGCAAATGAACTTGACACATTCTTAGAAATGCAAGAAACTGCAAAACTGAAGACAAATACTCTAATTTGGCTGCAATGCTGGGTTGCATTTTTTCCCTTTCTCTAATTTTCCAGTCCTACACAGAAATTAAATTAAGCAATAGCAACTCCTTCCAGTTTCAGTTTTAAAAGCATTGGTACACATCCACACCTCCCTCCAAAAAACAACTACCACCAAAAGCCCATAAGAAACAAAAAACCCACGCATGATCAAACCAATAGAATGACTCAACAGAAAGAAAAAAATATTAGTCAGCAAGATTATCTGCACTTGAGCTGCTCATAACAAGTTTTAATTATTTAACAAACAGAACAGCTTCCCTACTCCAGGTTCTATCCAGTGTCATAAAACCTGGGTGTGGAGCCCAAGGGCACAGTTACACACACATTTATTTAAACAGCAGTGCCAAGCTCCAGTTCCTCCTTTCACTGCAACCTTCAGCAGTAATTCCCACTGGGTGTCAGTCCCTCCACTGACCAACTATAGCAGACCCTAGTTAAAAACAAACTTGTCTGCCAAATTATTTTTCCAACAAATCAGTTCCCAGATTTAATTCATAGCACTTAGTGCCATTGTCTAGTAAGCACAATAGTGTTCGATCAAGGGTTGGACTTGATCTCAGAGGTCTTTTCCAACCCAGTTGATTCTATGATTCTATTATAGTCAACAAGGACAAAGCAGAGTAGGAGCTGCTCAAATTGGCACTGCTTTCCAAGTAAGTACATGTGTTGTTATACTCAAGGAGTCCCAGTGACTTTTATAAACCTTGCTCTATGCAAGAGGATGAAACTGGTGGCGGCGTTAGCTCCAAGCTCCAAGCCAAGCAGTTACCGTCTCTGCTGCACGTTGTGCATTCCTTGCCTGCCATTTATCTCTGAGATCTTTCAGTGTTTCTATTCAGCAGCACATTGCTCAAAGCCTTTATTTGTGCTACTTTATGCTGACTGCTATGCTGCTTCAAAGGACTCTATGTCAGGAGAACTGTTATACACAGCTCAAATAAGATGCTTTTCCCGGTATTATGCCATGGGCGTAAAACCATATACCCGTTCTTGAGTCAAGCAAGAAGGGACTTTAAATCAACTGTAAGATAAACTGAAGCATGGTCAAAAAGATATTTGCAGAAAGAGACAATTCTCATTACATGAGCTAATAATTCCATGATGAATCACTAAAACTGTGATCATCTGCAGACAATCATCCGCAGGCAATTTATACTCTGGCTGTTAACAAACACCATATCAAGAATGGTTTAAGACATGCTGAGTGTAACACTTTCTGCCAGAGCTTTGCCAAATCCACCCAAGTTCAGAAACAATAAAATGTCCTGAATCTCCAAATACTTTCATGCAGTTAATCCTGAACATGCAACAAAAAATTATCCTGAGCACTGACAAATGTCTAGCAAGACAGGCATACAACTCACTTCCCACTTTCACCTAGAACAAGTATTACAAGAAATTGTGCCTAGAAGACACTGCCAAGATCTTTCTTCAGTACGTTGTGTTCCAAAGGCAGTAAATACCTAGATTTAATTCTTTAAAAATTAGTAGTTAAACCAGACAGAGATCTTTGGATCACCTCTAGACGGAAAAGGGCTTCTGTAGCAACATGGCAAAATCTAACTTTCAAAAGGAGAGGCTAACAGAACACTGGAACCCAGAGACTGACAAAGAATCTATGGAGTGAGAGTCTAGCAAACTAGAAGAGAGTTCTAGAGTACTTCAACGTGATGCACCATCTGGAGACCATCAGCAAAGGAACACTCTAGCATGACTAAGTGTTACAAAAGAAAGTATTTAAACATCAAAATACACAGGCTTTTGATACTGTCCCTCATAGCATCCTTCTCTAAGATGAGCAGGTACACAGCGAGCTGGAGGCCAAGGAACAGCACTCAAAGGGTTGTAGTGAATGTGGCTACATCTGGCTGGCAACCTGTTACCAGCGATGTACCTCAGGGCCCAATTCTAGGGCCAGCTCTGTTTAGTATTTTTATCAATGATATGGATGCAGGAGTTGAATGCACCATTAGCAAATTCGCTGAGGATACTAAACTGGGAGATGCTTGGATAAAAGCCTTGCAGAGGGATCTAGACAGATTGGATCAATTAATCACTGGGCAGTGATTAATGACACAAAATTTAACAAGTCTGAATGCCGTATTCTGCACTTGGGATGGAGTAACGCTTGGCACAAATACAAACTGGTAGAGGATTGACTGGAGAGCAGCCCTGCAGGAAGGGATCTGGAGGTGCTGGTCAGCAGCAGACTCAGTAGGAGTCAGCAGTGTGCCCAGGGAGCCCAGAGGGCAAACAGCTCCTGGAGTGCATCAAACTCAGCATCACCAGCTGGTCAACAGAGCCGACTGTCCCGCTGTAACAGCCTCACCTTGAGCAGTGTGTGCTGTTCTGGGCCCCACAATTAAACAAGGATGTGTCCAGAGGAGGGTAACAAAGCTGGTGAAAGAGCTGGAGGCAATGTCCTGTGAGAAGGGACTGAGGACTTTGGGCTTGTCTGGTTTGGACAAAATGACCCTGAGGGGCAACGTCACCGCTCTCTAGAGCTTCCTGAGAATTGGACATGGAGAGGGAGGTGCTAAGCTCTTCTCCCTGGTATGCAGAGACAGGACATGGGGGAATGGTTCAAAGCTGCATGAGGGGACGCTTAGACTGGACATTAGGAAGCATTTCTTTACTGAGAGGGTGGTCAAATAGTGGAACAGGCTTCCCAGAGGAGGTGGATACCCCAAGTTTGTCAGAGTATAAGAAGCATTCGGATCGTGCCCTGAACAACATGTGCTTGGTCGGCCCTGAACTGGACAGGAAGTAGGACAAGATGATCATTTTAGAACCCTTCTAACTGAAATATTATATTCTATTCTACTCTAGTCTAGTTTTCCCCTATGATGAGCATAAAAGTTAACACCATTTGGATTTTACAATGCATTCCATCATTCTAAACTTGTATGAAAAGGATATATCCCTGAAGACAGATTACCTAAATGCATCAATGGCTTATGTCTTCACATTTACAAGATAGGAAAAAAATGGGGTTTTGGGAAACAGATAAAAATACTTTTATTTTTTTTAAATACAACAAAATATAACATATAGTTCTTCTTTACATCATATAGAGACTAGGTGATACATGAACTAATGCAAACCTGATGGAATTTGGTAGAATAAAAGTAGGCAGACACACTTTTTGAGCCTATCAACTGCTGGAAGCAACTAGGAACCAAAGTACATAAAACCAGATCCAAAGCTCCTCCAACTATTCATTTATTCAAAAAATCTTACAAAACCACAAATAAACTCTTAAAATCCACATCAAAATACTTCCTAATTACGTCTCCTACCTTCTTTACCCTGAATCAGAGGCTCTCTTCATAAGCATGGTTAAAAGTCATTACATAGGTAGTGGAGTGTCTGTGTCCCTTCAAGTGACTTTCAATTTACAAACAACTAAGTACAGAATCAGCCCATAACATGCTTTGCCACACCACACAACTTGCCATCTACTCAATACCCAGTACTCTCTAGTTCTAGTAGTAGTTAGACATTGACATACAAGTAATGCCATTTATAACCACCAGAGAGAACAAATAGAAGAAACACAACTTTTTATTACTTTAATACTAGAAATATGTTCCGGTCAGTGTTGTTATCCCGATCTGAATGTATCGTGCTTATACCATACTATTCCTGATCAAACTGTGTGGGCAATATGTTTCCTGTAAAAGAGTTGGTTTATTTTATTCTGAGTTTTTAAACACACAGCATCATTCTTCCATCAGCACAGCATGTTCTATACCTTGCACCTTAATATAATTTCACAGTCATAACCTTTCTGCTTTGTTTCTGATTTCTATTTGTGTTAAGATCCTCACTTAAAATCTTGTGGAACATTTATCTGCTTGTTCTAATTGCTGGCTGTTCTAATTCTGTATGCTCTGTTTCTTTGATCGGTTGGTGCTACCCTCTAAATATGAGTCAGCCATGGAGCAACTTCTAATCCTTCATCATCAAAACCACATGCAGGTTATGTATCAAAAGGAATGTGAATAATAAAGGTGAACAACTCTACAGCCTACATAAAAACATTAG